TGAAATGGTCAACCACTTTTACAGCGTATCTGATTCCTTTCGATGTGAGACTCTGTTTCAGGACATGCTCGCCTACAACCTCGTATAGTCTTGGAGCTACAACTGGCCTCAGAGGTGGTACCCTCTTTTGCCTTGAGCTGTGTACAAAACACTTCTGATATCGTTCCTAATTCAGCTCTCCTGATCGAATGCAAGACTCCCACCGCTCGTTCTGAACTCTGAACTGTAATGTGGTCGCCTCAGCTGGACGGCTCGGTCCCCATGTAAGCCAGTACATTCCTTCGATGCCATGCGTTGTTGGACCTGTCTGTGAATGAAGGTTCTCAGCAAATGCGCTGTGTAGTTTAACTTAGCCCCTTTCATCTACAGTGGATTATTGCAGTTCTTGTTCAATGGGACGACTCACGAGACAGCAGTCGGATGGACGATTGACGGAATAGCAGTGGAGCGGGCCATTGGGGGAAAATCTCAGATCTGCTTATCCGACAGTGCTAATACGAAGTAGGATCATTAAGGGATGAAAACATGATGGTAGAGCCTGAAAAGTTTCTCATGAGATCCACTACGGTGATACGGAAAAAATGGTATAGGAAAAATGAGAAGTTTTCTAACTCGATCAATCGATAGCGCGGCTATGGCCAGACCAACATTTTAAAAACTCAAGCTTCAAGCTAGCAAATCTGAATCTGTAGAAACACACTTTTATCAACACATATGAAGCCAGAGCGAATGAAAAATTAGAAAAGAGCAACAGTTACAGAGTTATCGAGAAATGGGAGCGTTAGTCGAAACGGGGATAGTGGGAGGGCGACACGAAAGTGAGGTACCCAAAGCGAACTGTAAGGTCACAGGAAACAAGCTAGAACAAGGTTGCGGCGGTTGGTATAACCGTGTGAGGTCGAACAGGCTTGCTAAATCAAGAATTTATTGTGACAGCAAATAATTAACGATAACCCTGGAAATAGATATTATGAGCTATACGACTAGAATCGGATGGATACTGGGCGTAGAGTTGGATGTCACTAGAAACGCCGGTCACCTGGTTGCAAGCGTACCGTTTGAAAATCCCTCTTCCACACAATTGCTCCGGATGTTGTGAGATCTCAGAGCTTTACAACCCCAATGCTACTTACTAGGGAAGGTCGTCAGGTCGAAAGTGGCCATTTGTAATGAGATGTAGCTCACTAGACGTGGTTTTGGACGCTGATCTCGAATCTGCCTTCGAAATTTGCAGAACGATTCTCTGAAAGGAATTATGAAGGTTTGTTAGAATTAAAATGAAGGAAACGGAGTCAAGCGCGGTTGCCAGCCAGCTCGCGTAAGTAGCCGTGAAGCACTCTAAGGCCCAAAGGCGGCATGGTGTAGTGGTAGTGGTCTTGCTTCGCGGGCATGCGTTGAAGGGTTCGGATTTGTGGAGGGGGCTACTTTTGCATTTTGTGCGGAATGTCTCTTTTGAAGTCTAGAAAACACTCAAACGCCAAATGGGTGCCATATTCGTGTTCAGGGAGCAAAACTACCCCTGGGGGCAAGCTTTTCTAGCCAGATGTGAGGTTTTTTGAATTCTTCTCTCTTAACTTTGAAAAGTGCGGTAGCAGCTGATCGAATGATGGTCACTAATAGTTCCAGGGCCAATCTCTTGTTGAATGCTTGCCTTTGAATGGAATTTGCTTTCAGATATTAGGAAAACTGAAGCAGTAACAAAATGAATGCGTAAGAAGTGGCAAGACGAGGGTTTGTGCAGGAGAATGTATCTGCATCTGAATAGGTGTGTACATCAACTGAACTAACCCATGGATGGTCCATTTATGGAAGTCAGGTCAAAATGCCAGATTTGGCTAGAAACCTCTACATAGGCGTAGTTCGCCCCCATGAACACGAATATGGCACTCGTTCAGCGCGAAAACGCCTGCACTGCGCGCCAAGGGCAGGGCACCTGCACATCCAGAAATTCTCCTAAATCATAAGGCACTAAGCGCGTCAGTAAGCGAACGCAAACTGTTTTTCAGGCAATTCAAGGAGAACGCCTAATGTAGTAGTGACGCTACAACCACTTTTTGCCACGTTTGCACAAGTAGCAAAAAAGTTAAGCTCAGCGGGGATCCGATCCCACGACCTGTTGCGTGGTAAACGCGATTGAAAAAGCTCCATAACTCGCGTCAAAGAATCGTTCTGCAAATTTCAAAGGCAGATTCGAGATCAGCGTCCAAAACCACGTCTAGTGAGCTACATCTCATTACAAATGAGCCACTTCGACCTAAAACGACCTTCCCTAGTTAGAAGTCTTCTCGCCGCTAAGGGCAGTTCTAACGAAATAGAGGCGCACACTAGGCTCCCTGGAATAGAGACCCCTAAAGAGCAAGTGATCCAAAAAAGAAGAAGAGTAAGAATCGGGAAGGACTCCTACTGGTAATCGGACCACCTTATATACGCCTTGGTCCCACCTCCACGCGCGAAACTGATCTACTGCAGAGATGACCTCTGACCCCCCCCGTGTGATCAACTCCTTTCCCACCTATGGCACCCTGCGCTTGAATGACTTCCGCAATGAGCGGTTTTAACGCGCACTCTCACCTCTGGCTGACAAATCTGCCTGCAATCTGAAGATGAAAACTCAAGGTAGAGAGGATAGTAACAGATCCATTTAGGCACCTACTGCCCTAAAGAACCCCTCCCTATTAACCACTGCGGCTTATTCAAAAGGGTTACGTAGGCCAATCTAAGTGGGGGGGCCAGCAAACGCTGATGCTGGAGCTCCAGCTGAACGCCGTGCCTTTATACTACGAAATCAACGAACGCAAAAGAACAGCTGAATATTGAGGCGAGCATCATATCTGACCGCGCCCAAATTTTATTGCCGTTCTCCCGCGCACTCTCTTATTCGAAGCCCGCCAGATCATCTTTTCCAGATCGATCACCCGGCGATGTCACCTCCCGTTTCCACGGCCCTGCATCGCCACCGTAACGCTCCGACTCTTACCCTAACAAAAGTGTGTTGCTAGGTGTTTGAGGGCAAGGAGATACCGTCCAAGGGTGTCAATCATGGTTAAGAATTATAGTCACGTTCAAGTTTATCAACAGATTCGATAGCTTCTCTGGCCGATCAAAACAATCTTTCTTGCAGGTCTTCAATAGCACTTCGTCTGCGGTCTGCATTCAGGAAGGGAAAGAGGCGGGACAGTCTGACGAGGTCTGTTATTTCAATTTCTATACGTGCATTATTTGAAGGGACAATAGGCGTTGAAACCACGTGCTGTCGCTTATTTTCATGTCGAAAACCCATGAACAACGTTTTCCCCGTCCACGTTGCGTGCCAGCATAGCTCCTTGGGCAGCCTTTTCAAGAGCTAGACAATCTTTGGATCACTGGATTAGAACATTTGTTGTGATCTTCGATTCTGGACCACAACACTAGTATGTTTTGGCGTTGTTGAGAACTCAGTTAACAGGCGTTCATGGGGTCTTTCATCACTTGAAGCATTCGAATTGGATCTACCTAATACAAGCCTACCAAGAGGGCGTCCAAAAAGGTCAAAAGAGTAGGAATTAGCCACAAACCTGTATTTGACTTTTTTGGATGATTTTATTAGGTTGTCCGGAAAGTTCTCAGCGTTTTGGGTGTTTCACTTTAAACGATCGTAACTTTTTTAATACTCATCGGATTTAATCGAAATAGGCACCATTCGAATCAGCACACTTTTGCCAATGTGACAGCAGTCGAGAAATCCCATCAAAGTAAAAAACTGGGTGGTCGAAAATTCACGAAATCCACGAAGGCTTTTTTGCCTGGTCCTGTTTGATGAAGTATTTCCCAGCAAGGAAGTTCTGAAAATGTTGAAAAGGGAATATTCGGTTGGTGAAGGTCTGGAGAATATGGCGGTTGAGGTAGAACTTCAACCCCCAATTCGTTCAATTTATGGATAGTGATTTGTGAAACGTGTGGGCGGGCGTTGTCATGCAAAAGAATCGGACCCTTTCTTTTGATAAGTGTTGGCTGCATCTGACAAAATTTTCGGTACATTCGTCGATTTCTTCACAGTAGGGTTCTGCTGTGATGGTTTGGCCTGGTGATAAAAAGTTATAGTGGATCACACCAGCCGATGACCACCAAGCCGTGACCAGAATCTTTTTTTCGTGAGGGTTCGGCTTTGAAAATTACCTCGGTGGTTCCTCCAAATCCAACCACTGTCCGGAACGTCTCCTGTTATCATACATGATCCATTTTTCATCACAGGTGACAAATCCGTTCAAAAACGGGTCAATTCTTTTGCGCAAAAGCAGTGAAGAAGGAACCTCGAGACGTGCCGATTCCTGCCGGTCACTCCGATTGTGGGGCACCCAATTGTCGAGTTTTTTCACCTTCCCAATGCGTTCCAGACCATCTGCAACAGTGGATTTGCCAAGGCCTAGCTCTTCTGCTATCTCTCGAACTGTTTGGGATGGGTCAGCCTCCAAAATCCCCTAAAATCCTCGTCAGATATTGCTTTAGGTCGACCGCTATGAGGTTCATCTTCAAGGCTGAAATCTCCAGAACGAAATTTGTTGAGCCATTGCCGCACAGTGCTTTCTCTAGCACTATTGGGCCCCCACACCTGGTTAATTTGTTGAGCTGTTTCGATTGCGGATTGCCCCAATTTATAGTCGAAGAAAAAAATCGTCCGAAGTGCTCTTTTCACATGCTTGAAAAAATCTTGAAAAAAGGGGGTTTATCAAGCAATGGTGAAACGGCAATTATACCATCAGATAGCGCAAGAAATTCTCTACAGGATGTGCTACTGAGAAGCAAGGCAGAATGAGTTTTTAATCAGCAGTGAATGTACAAAATTTAGGTGCAAAACGCTAAGAACTTTCCGGACAACCTAATAGATCTTGAGCTCTTTCAAATAACCTCCCATGGTTAGGGTTTTGCGTTATGCGACATATCGTTTTTAATTCCTGATCGGGCAACGGGACAGTGCAATACTGATACCGCTTGATAACTGTGCAAACTTCACAAAGCTTTCAATGTCCATCCATCAGACTGGTTCACACTTACCAGTAAGAGCGGTTTTTCAGTGACAAGAAAAACTTCTAAGTTCATGCAGAAAGGGGTATCACACTCACAATCAGTCACCTCTGATATCCTTTTGGACAGGGGGGGAGGGGTAGGCGGCGGATTCGTCTTAACAAAAACTTACTCAACAAGATGTTGTCCTTTGGATAGGAGTAATTTCCAAACATGCTCTTTCTAGGTTTTCATATGGATACATGCCTTCCACAGAGTATTCTGTTAAGCATGATGAGTGCACCACAAACCGGATCACCTTAAATATACGATATATCTTGTGGTTTTACACTCTTATAGCGAGGATTCAACTGGCACAGCTGCTTTCATTGCTCGCCACACGACTCCCCCCTGCCAAAGAACGTAGTCAAAGACACTTCTTTCAACATGATGATATCAGCTGGGATCAATGGCGGCGACCGCAACACCTCCAGCCGGGTGATCTCTTCCGAATACGCCCTTTCTTCTCTGTATTCCTACAGACCCACTCACAAGGGGCTCTTATTCGAGGCATATGCGACGACTTTTCTACCTTTTTTCCCATTGAATTTTTTGACCCCTACGTATCCCTATTTCAGGCCCCTTACCTGGATACGATACCAGATTCGTCTAAGAGCAGAGAAAAAGGCACTGGCTCGTTCATAGGCTGTCCACCGGAAGTAATTGTACAGACCACATCTATCCAATGAACCTTTTCGATTCTGAAAAGAAGTAGAATGACTGCCGCATCCCAGAAAGGATTAGCGACGGTGAAGACTTCATCCAGGAGAATTCAATGCGATAATCCCACTTAATTACATGTGAGCTGTGAGTTAAGAAACTGTCTTGATTCGAAACCCACACAAGCGGAAGCAGGGCACCGGTCACTTGATGGCAACACTACATCTCATCTGCAGTATTTCAGACCGCTGAGGGAGGTGCTAAGCACCGAAATATCCGGAAGAAGAAATAAAAATAAATTTTTTTTGCGAAAACTTGCGGATTTTTCTGGATCTTTGGGAGTTTCTGCGATAAGTTGTGGTGCCTGTTTTGTACTGTTTTTACATTCAGCTTATAAAAAAGCTGTGGAACAGCACTATACTCCGAAATTTCTCAGTTCAAAATGGCACTACGCGTAACGCAATAACCCTTACTTACTGACTAGCGCATTTTGTTCCGAGCTTTCTAATTGTATTTGTAATGGACGGCGCTTTGGATGAACAGCAATTAAGTTTTCCAATAGCATTCTCGTGTTATCACTCTCGATTTAGATGAATTGTAGTGATAGCGGTCGGAAGTAATTAACGACGTCATCAGTAATAGATTGAAATGTAGCGCGTAGTGAAATGCAGCGCGAATCTCCAATTAAATACTAAGGTCAAAATTCGGTCATCATGGGATGAAATAAGAAGTTTTTCAGATTGTTTTTTGAAATTTTTTTTATGAATTTCATCAGAAAAAGTGAAATTATTGTTGTAACATTGCTATTCTCGTGTGCGCAAATTCATGTTCTACAGCCTGATGTGAAGCACTTTTCAGCATGTTCATGTGCACATAGTACCTCGACGCGAAGTCGATTCCGACTCTTCTCCTAACAATCTGCACGGAAAAATACCTACAGATGACAAGTGTGTTACGAGTTTGAATATTTCAATATTAATTCCAGTAGTCAGTATTTCGGTATTTGTTCTCAGTAGAAAAATGGCCAGTTCGCATCAGTTTGATTCCAAATAGGTTCTCTAGAGGTCCAGTGGTGTTCGCTGCAGGTATAGGGCTTGTGAAGGAGGACGGGTTTGGTGGAGCGACAGCCCATTACCTTGAAGCGGGCAAACGAAAACGATTGGTAGAAACGGGCTAGCGCCGCGTCAAACTCAGCCCCTGACACGCCCTAGCGCTTGAGTTTGTCCAGGCAAGAGAAGCTAGAGGGCACACAAAAGAAAATAAACGACAGACACCCAGGCAGAGTCACTTGGGTTTAGGAGAAGCCGCAGAGTAACGTTGAGCTTCAGTGTCCATACCTACAACTTTCTGATGCAAAAGTGGTACAAGCTTAACCATTACGGCCTACATTACCTTTACCCACACGAGGCTCTGGTCAATATAAGTGAGTGGAATGTAGTTGATGCCGTCGTAATCAGCCGGGGAGGTGCCAGGAGGGACGTAGAATGAGCCTGCATCCGGCTGCTTCACTCTACCAATAGTGACCGGCTAGCGATCGGCTTAGCAAGAAAGCAACCAATGGTAAAGAGGCCGCGCGTGGGGTCATTCCATCCCTTCTGGAAACGCCCCAACTATTACAATCATCGACCTGCGGACAAAACTTAGTAACATTAGTAATAGTGTAGGTAGGTTGTACAGGGCTCATGGAACTCTAAATTTAGGGGAGGGGTTGATGAAGGTTGGGTTACACGCCAATTCGGGAGGGGGGGGGTGGTCGGAGTGGGAGTGGCAGAGAGGAGCATTTTGCAGTCTTCCTATGTTTTTTTTGTTGAAACTAACAAGTGATTGTAAAGTCTCACTTACCTCAGTCCCCTACTCCTGTGAAACTGCGAAATGTTCGAGTGAGCCATTTCGGTCACGGGAATCTGCAGATTTCTGAAAACTGGCATTAACGAGCTCACTAGGGAAGGTCGTCAGGTCGAAGTGGGCATTTGTGATGACGACTGTAGATCACTAATGAGCGTGGTTCTGGTACGCTGGATCTTGAACCTGCCTTCAAAATTTGCAAAGCGATTCTCTGAACGGAGTTATGGAGCCGCGTTTACCACGCAACAGGTCATGGGATCGGATCCCTGCTGAGCTTAACTTTTTTGCTTGTTGCGCAAACGTGGCAAAAAGTGATTTTGCCGTCACTACTACTTCAGTTCTCACCTGAGCTTGTCTGAAGAAAAGTTTGCCTCCATTTATTACTGCGCTTGGACTCCTTGTAGACTACAGTGCACTACAGTGCTTCTACAAGGAGTCCAAGCGCAGTAATAAACGGAGGCAAACTTTTCTTCAGACAAGCTCAGGTGAGAACTGAAGTAGTAGTGACGGCAAAATCACTTTTTGCCACGTTTGCGCAACAAGCAAAAAAGTTAAGCTCAGCAGGGATCCGATCCCATGACCTGTTGCGTGGTAAACGCGGCTCCATAACTCCGTTCAGAGAATCGCTTTGCAAATTTTGAAGGCAGATTCAAGATCAGCGTCCAAAACCACGTCTAGTGCCCACTTCGACCTGACGACCTTCCCTAGTCAGCTTAACTCCATGCCGTGCCCCCACAAAGCCGAATTGCCTCGCCAATTCAATCACACCAGCTAAAATTATTTTCCCATTTCATCATGAGGAAAATGGTTACGAATCAAATTTGTGAATTGTTGTTTTCATACAGGGAGCCACGAGGTCAACCTCACAGTCAAGAAGAGTTGAGTGCAGAAGCAACGCTATACAGGAATTCGATGAGGAGCATCTGATATCGAGCAGTCAATACACTTCAGCGAATTGCAACTTTAACCCTGTACTGCGACAATATACTATCAATCGAAAATCTAAACATTGTTCTGGTTGCCTGAAATTGGATGTGATGAATGGTGAATAGTATTCCCCTCCTATTGTGGCATTGGAAGAGTCCTATGTAACTCTGTCCTCCCGGCTGACGACAAGGGGTAAACCTTGTAAGATCCGTCACCCAGTGGTTGACGAGAGCTTGTCTGTGCTGAATTGGCAGCACCCTTTCCCATGTCTCAATGATATATGTGAGCAGTCGGAAAAAGTAGTTGTCAATCTGCCATGCATATTTACTAATTGGAACCTAAAAGTGCAACACTGCGAAAGCGTTGTGGCACACACCACTGACAATGATTTGTTGAACTATTCTGCGTGGAAGTTTTTCCTTCGAGGCTCTGAAAAACTCAAAAATCTGGCGTGAAGGCAAAAAAAATGCGTTGGAGACTCAGTGGCTCAACGTTCATTGAAAAGATGTCCCGGGAAATGGTGGTTAAAGGCACATTCCGCGATAAAATAAGGCTATGACCTCTCAAATGTGTCGGACGATCCGGAAAGCGATTTTTGAGGCTGCGCCCTAACTTCAAAAGTTGAAAAAACCGGGCCAAAAAACGTCGACTAGAAGCTGAATAATTAGGCCATGACGCCCATGCTCCGCCGACCCTCACCGGCTGCTAGCTACTAGCTAGTAGCCACTATGTTATCTTTCTCTATAACATTTCGGACTGCTTTTTCTGCTGCTTTTCTCCGCTAATCAGATACTTAGCACTTTTTTGTGCCTATTTGAGTTCCGTTTCCCGCAATTTGCGGTCGCGAACTGTGCCTTTAAACCAGCGTTTGTAGTGATTGCCTGATGCGCATAATTAGTGTACCTTTGAGGGCATTAAGCGCGATGAAATAGTGCTCGATCTCAAGGCAGCAGGGGGTATATAGTCGGAAAATGGCGAAAAAGAGAAGAGTGAAACGGTCTACCAACCTGAGACGAAAAGCCTTTTTTTCCCAACACCGGTAGGCATCGACGGTCCCGGTTCCCGTTGGCACGCGTGCATGACTGATTGGCGTTGGATCAGTTGCAAGGTACCTGTAAGTCGTGTATCAACTGAGGACGGTTAGGCGTGTCAGTGCGACTGCGTTTGGCGCGGTGCCAAAGTCGTGTACTACTCGTTTTCTACCACTTTTTGTGGCGGGCAGGTTGCAACAAGAGGGCAGAGAACGGCGTTGACGGGGTGACACACTCATACTGGCTGACACGCCTAACCGTCCGCAGCGAACTAGAGTGTATGTATCCATATATCCATGCAGCACCGCAGCGGCTTCATTTTAACCCTACGCTACATATTTTACTTTCGCAAATGAAACACTACAAGCATCAGTTACGGTCGTCCACTTGTGGGCTGGACGGACGCCGTGAGCTTCTGGGGCGGTGTGTTGCAGCTTGATGGAGCTCAAGGGAACCTTCAAGAAGCAATGCCCGCAGCAGCGCGGTACTCCAATAAGGCCGCCGGAAGTTCCGCCGAGCTATGCGGTTTTGAAAATTCCCTCCAAAATGTTCTAGCGATTCGCCATATTTTCCATATAACCGTTGCATTTTCGAAGGAACCTGCTCACCCTTCCGATTTCAAGTGCTACATTTTGTCCCACAAAGCCCACTAAACTCCGTTCTCATGTTCCGTGGAATCGAAAGTACATCCGATTCGCTGAAGATGACTTTCGTCGGGGATCCTGTCTAATCTTGACAGAAGTTATTCCTAGCCACGAAAAGAAAATACTAGTTGATTGGTACGAGTTTTGAGGGGAAAACTGGAAAAAAAATTGTGTGCAAGTGGTAGGAAGTTGAAAAAAGTTTAGTTCGTTGATAGAAGTCCGTGTGCTAAGAAAGGAAAAAATTCAAAAGGATGTCCGCCATTTTTTCTCATCCCGAAGCTGTACCACTGTGTAATAAACGAACGTAGTTTGCCAGAAAGTACAGTATGTTTGACATAAAACAACATCCCTGAATGTTTTCTAATGGTGATGACTATTTGTAAGTTGCGAAAATATAGCGGTAGAATGTTCGCGTTCGATCAAAAAGGATGATTGATGGTTCAAGCAATGAAACACCCCAACTTCATTTTTTATTTCATTCTCGTAGACAAAACTCCTTAAGACGTCTACAAGCTCGATGCAAGGTTTGTATTCCATCAGCTTCCACTTACCTTGGCGAAAAAATAACATACGTCATGAAAAAAACAACTGCCAATGTCTTGCCTCATGCTCATTGAACGAGTAAACCTTGAAGAATTCTTTAGCATGTGTAATGTCCTGTTTATTATTCAATGAAAATAATTTTTGTTCAACCCAAGTCCGATTCCCTCCTCAGCACAGGTCAATTAGAAACAGGACAGAACTGGAAAATCTAATAAGAAAGAAATCACTTCCAAATTAGAGTTGGTTCCGTCTCGTCCTGACTAGCTCGCAGACAACCCATCATTGTCTTGGGGCCAACATCCTCGCCAGGCTCCCCATCATCAGTGAGGTACGGTTTGACGAAACAAGGACGAGGACTACATAGGAGAAGGAGTTGAGAAAAAGGATAAAATGAGAGAAGCTGCACAACTTGCTTTCATACAACGTATATGCCACTTTAAAACTCCAGCGTAGCTGCCCCATGGTGAAATTGGAATTGTGGCCGGTAATGCGAGACTGAGTTGATGATTTGTGGCCCGTAATGCAGAGCTAAGTTGATCCAGTGGTAATAACCGGTTAGGCCTACGCAACAAGCACATGGCCGCTTTCAATAGTACGACTAGAGGTGGCAAACTTATGTAATAGTTCACCACCGTACCGTTCTGTTACTGAAATAGGCATATGGTGTGTCGTTCGGCCTGTCGGATCAATTTCTTCCATGGAATCACTCAACCATGCGGCAGTGAATTTCTGGTGAATTCACGTCACAACTGCACTACAAACATATTTTAACTTCTTCCGCAGCGTACGACTATACTACTACTTTACTACATCTATAGCTTTTCAAATACTCGTCCCGCAAAGCCCAAGAAGTGAAAGCAAAGCGTTCTCGTTCTCAACACTTGCCCATCAAGAAAACGTCACTAAAGTCAATTCGCGACTCTCTGCTGTCGTGCGCAACCCCGACGACCTTCTGCAGAGCATAATCCATTTACCTGTAGAAGAAACTCAATGACGGGAACACCAAAAAACTCCTCAGCAGAGATTAAACGGCTGCAATTTAAGGAAATCCAGCGATAGATAAAAGCGTAAAGACAGCTCTGCTCTAAATAAAGAATGTAGAAGAGTCGATTCTCCATCACCTTGCATATTTTTGCCTGGCAGATACAACTCTTGGGACAACCTTCCCTCCAGACGCCCATGGATCCTCCTAACGAGGCAGTTGTCTAAAGTTCTATTTGAAGGCTTGACTGGTAATGGTTGCAGCACCAAAGACCAGATTATAGAAGATGCGATCTACTGGAGCCATGTTAGTGATGCCCATATCGCAGCGATTCACTCAACGAATAGTTGATATTCCTTTAAAAAAACTGTAACAAATTGGCAGAAACGTGTAAATGTGGTACAGCGACATTTGGATTTTTGATGCACTACACATTCAATTAGCGCTGCAATGTTTCAAAGGAGTGCAGAGCGTAGTGCGCTCCGGCGGAGCTCGTGAACGGTCAATCTTTTTCTCACATGTTTCATTTCACATGAGCTGGTTTCCGACAGCGGCACATACCGTTTGATGAACTGTGGATTATTGTAATGATCTGCATCATTTGCAGTGTTTCTTCTTCAATAAGTGGAGTAGAGATTCTTAGCACAGTTTTCAGGGAAGGGGAAGTGATGGGGTACGGTGGTGGACCCGGAGTGATATATCACTTTTCATTTCGCACATGCCCTAAACGGAAGCTAAACATTAGCTATGTCCTCCCTTGCCTTCGCTGATATAAGCAGGGTGCAGCATCGTGATGTGTGAAATGATGGTGTCAGTACGACCCCCTCCCGCTAGAAGCAGGGTTCCGATATGACACCTTCCATTCCCCCAACGCCCACCTACCAATTTCCCATATTTTCCAGTTTTTCACCCCAAAATTTCCGAGCAGTTTCGGCGAACTTCAGCAGCGAATTTCTTACATTTCCTCTAACTACCTACCACTTTCACCGGAATTTCCAGAAGATTTTCCTAACTTTTCACCAAGGGTAACGACGCGCCCCAACGGTCCCTCCCCGTGTGAATCACGAACAGATGCCTTACCCTGATTACCTATTAGAATGCCTGATGAGAAACTTAAGCACCGAACTTTCGTATTAGAGGTAAGCATAAGCACCTAAAATCCGGCTCTGCCTCAAGCCTACATTCATTGAGTGAGCTTTTTGCAGCAGTAAAATCTGACCATGCTGTGGTCCGCTAGATACTTGGTGCATTTGGAGGAAAAAACCTAGCTTTCGATATTCAACTTCGGTGGCGCTATAGGCACAAGGGAAGTGTTTTGGAGAGATTTCTTTGCAACAATTGATTCCTCTGTTTTTTTTCCACATTTTTCTCCTTATCATCTGTTGTAAAAGTTTGTCAGCAGTGTGTCGGAGTGGCACACCAACAAGAATAGACTTTGTAAGAAACTCCCTTTTCTCTGTTTTTTCATTACGGCGCCATTTCCTTGAGGGACAGTCTACCCGATGGACAGGCCAATATTCTTGGCAGATTTGACGGATGAGAAAACATGAAACTGACATTAGCAGAATGGGTGCCGGTTTGAGAAGATGCGTCCACGGCCGCGGCAGGCATTGGGAAATCCGAAACCGCGACGCGGAGTCTATGGTGCTGTCTTTGGCAAAAGTGCCCCAACTTTTTTGGAAGCATACACGGTGGTTTAACATGAACAGACAAGTCTTATACAGCTAATCTGCAGAATCGCCGCTGAAATGCTTCCAACCTCTCGTCCCGGGCTACTGAAAGTCCGCCTGCTACTGAAAT